AAGGTATCCCCCTCGACCACCCCTCGTTTGCAGTGCGGGCGCGCATTTTTTGGCATTTCGAGAAAGGAAAAGCGAAATTTTATTTCTCGCTTATTTTACTAAATTCGAATATTTTTCTTTGCTTTTAATTGCTGGCGTTGTCAATGTTGTGTGTCTTCCACCTCTAACGGTCGATGGCTGGTTAAATGAACTCTGAACGACTTATCTTTAACATTTTGAATGTTTCAAGTGCACGAGCTGTTGATTTTGTGCGGCTTGTGGTTTTCCAATTGCGTGTGGAAAACCCCCATTTGCATTCTCATATAATACTTACACTTTGTTTAATTGGCAATGGGAGAGAGCTTGGCAAATGCTCTAGGTGGATGCGAATACATCGCCATAACTTTTATATAGTAGAAGACGGTTTGTTTCACATTTGAAATTCTAATTTCATTTAAGTACGAGTATATGCATTAATGTCACGTTCACGTTCAATCTATAGTTAAGCGAAAAGATGAATGCGATTGAAAACGATTCTACCCCATTTGTCCATGACAAATATTTAATATGCCCCGGATCCTAGATTCCTTCCAAAATGGTTTATAATTTCGAATAAAAAGGAGGCGCCACCACTGCTTGGGTAGTCAGTCCTTTAAATGTGTTTCGAGCAGCCAATGTGGAAATAATTTTCTCTCATTTTATGCAAAAGTGTGGCCTTTGCTGAATTTCAAGCCATAAAGTTCACTTCCCTACTAATTGTTCATTGTTTCTCATTGTTTAATATCAAAACAATTCATGCTTTTATATCACTTAGTTGTAATCACAGCACAAGCGATTAAATCAATTGGGCGGCTAGTTAGAACACTTTTTCGATCAATTTATAATTAAAGGTGAACAAATTAAAAACTAATGTAGGGGAAAATTCGTTTTTTCCTAATCGAATCAAATAGCTTTGAGCACAAATGGTGTTAATAGCAAAGTATGTGATTTGCATTTGCTAAATAAAGTTTATTGCAATTGACAGCCGACATGTGTCTGACCAGACACTGGAATGCCCATTTTCGTTTCCCGCTAGTATTAAGGCTATATTCCAAATGTAATCAACCAATGCCTCCAGGCATATATTCAGTCACATGCGTCACATAAATACTTTAAGCGCAGCCTAAAATTAAACTTTCCGGCTAATAAAACATTAGCCGGCAAAAATATTTGTTATTAAGATAACAAAGGCCAGTTTATAATTAACCACACACACACACATACACACACGTAAAATAGAATAACTTTTGTTTAAAGAACTAAAAGAGGGAGGCCCCTAGAAAAGTGGCGGAGTGGGCGCTTTCGTGGAAGAAACTTGCAAATTAATTAGTCAAATGGAGCACTCGTGAAGTGGAAGCCAAAGTTAAAGCCGCAGTCAGGGCACGCTTCAGTGATTTGCTTATGAAAATATTTATAATACCGGCAGGCAGCAATAACAACAACAACAGACAAAGTGTGGCTGCAACAACAAAGGGCGTTTGATTAAGCATAAGAAAAACAAAGTTTGCTGTTTCTAGCTAATATTGTTATTGTTGTTCACTATGCGTGGTTGCGTAGGTGTCGGGGTGTGCGTGTGTGTGCGTGTTTGTGTGTGTGTGTGTGGTTGACCCACAACGCTCACAACTTGGCACGCTTAGTTACGTTTAAATGTTGTTGTTGTTGCCGCTGTTGCCTTTTTTGCCTGCCATTTGCCACCTGAGTGACCTGAGCCCGATGGTGCCGCAGCTTGCTGCTGCCCCCCTCTGCGGTGCTAATGTCAAAGTGTATTAAGGCATTAAAATGGTAAATTATATGGTTTTTGAACTTGCTGCTTACTCCACAAAAACAGGTGAAGTTTGAGTGAAAAACAAATGAGTGGTTGCCACTGTGGAGTGTGTGTGACCCACTTGCTTACAAAAAGGGTTTCAAGATCTTGGGCCTGCTCTCAAAAGGTGAAAATATGGCGCGAGGAACTGGAAAATTGATTTCTTCCACTTGTCTATTATATAATTATGTTAAATTATATAGAGTGCTGTTGCGATTATTTCTAACTTTTTTAGAAATCGTTTTTGCAGCCTATGAAGATAGTTTTATTAAAATACAGCAACAGAATTAGAGAGACATTAAAAAAAAAACAGTCCCTTCAAACCGTATATATTGGGTTGGCTATGAACGAACTTATTTATTTGTTTGTTTTTTATTTCTATCTCCACACATTTGAACATATTTCAGCATATAATATAAGAATTTAACTTCCATTCTAAAATGCAAGCTTAAAATTATTGTTTTTATCTCCACTCTTTTGATAATCCTAGTTTAATTGCACATCCGTTGTCATAGCAGCATTCCCAAAAAAGACATATTAACTCTTTGTGGCTATCGCAATTAAAATAATTTAAATTAACTCGAACCAATTTATTTTCTTTTTGGACAACAGACAGAAAATCTGAAGCAGAAATCCCAGATCAGATTATCAAACAGATAACTTATTGACAGACTGTTATATTTGACGGAAGAGGAAAATCTAATTTGTTAGTTTTGTGCCCGGGAGAGTTGGTCTCTGGCGTTGGGGTCAAATGTCAAGCCCCCACTGTGCGTTGGTTGCATTTTCCATTTAAACGTAAGATTTGTTGTAAACGTCTTTGTTGTTGCATTTATTTTAGCTGCCTTGGAAGAAAGTTTTGTTGACTGCTTGCAATGAGTTTTATTTTATATTTCTTGCTTGTGTTAGTTTTTTCAGTTACTTGTATTTTTTTCGGCACATTACATAAAATTTCGTAACATTCTCTGCAGACGTTGAAGGCAAAGTAAAGTGTTTGTCTGCAAGTTTGTCTCACCGCACACACACACACACACACACACACACACTTACAAAGCGCGTGTGTACGTGTGAGTGTGTGTGTTTGTGTGTGCGTTAAATTTTAAGTTGAGAAAACTCCACTGACCTGTTAACGAGAAATGCTTAGAGACTTGCTTACTGCCTGCCTGACTGCCTGCCCGACTCGCAGCCGCGCTGCCTCGCTGCTTCGCTGCATAGTTTCAAAATACGTCTCAATAACAACAACAACAACTTGACAACAGCAACTTATGAAGAAAGTTATAGTCCGGCGCATGCTACAGTAAAAACAACTTTTGCCCAACTACACGGCGAAAAAAAAACACTATACAAGAGTATGTACTTATGTACATGAATAATAAAAAAAGAAGCTGCAAACGAGTAGAACACGTTTTTACTGTTGTTGTTGCTGTTTTTATTGTTGCTGCTGCTGGCGCCGCAGTCAGCGTCAGCCTCTGGAACTGCCACCGCTATTTTTCACATGTGTGTGTGCGTGTGGGAAAGCTTTGGCCATGACTTGAGCATTTTCCTCGGCCTCGGCACAAGTTACAAAGTTAAATAAGTGCACAAAACTGTCCCGGACATTGAAAATGAATATTGTGCACAGAAATTAAAACCATTATAGTACTTGTACATAGTCGTAGTGCCAATTTTTTGTTTGTTTAATTTTCTCTTCTTCTTTTTTGTCAATTGGGTCTACTCGCACAATCAAAGAGTGCTCAATGATTGCGATTTCACTTTGCACATTGAATGCTGAGTGGTGGAGTGCTGAGTGCGAGCTGCGCATGCGCGAAGGCTAAAAAGTAAAACAGCGAAGCAACAATGTGGCTGGCCTGTAATACTTGTATATATTTAAGAAATTAGCAACATTCATTCAACGATCGAGCGCGAACAGAACAAAGAAATGAACGTAATCAATAAAAGTTGCACATATACCCGCATATACGTACACAAATTTTATTTAAATATGACAACAGCCAATAGTTGGCCCCGAATTGGGTTAAGGTGCGGCACCGCCCCAGAAAAATTATGCATACGTATTTATATATGTATATTGAAATATGCGAGTCATTCTACAAAAGTTACGAATAAAGAACTGCTATTATTCAGCTTCAAATCTTAGAAAAGACGATCTAGGCGAATGCAAAGTTGTGATTAAAATATTGATGATGCTGGTAAAGCAAATCTATAATGAATCAAAACAAACGCTAAAGAAGTTAAATGCTGCTACTATTTAAAACGAAACAGAGCAGAACTAATTTAGTTCTAATTTAGGTGGAGTTAGTCAAGTTAGCCGAATTAATATTGTAATTCTATAAAAAGGTATTATTTTAAAAAATTTGGAATGTCCATTAAATATTCAGTACCGTCTGTTATTTCAATTCTATGTTTCTGGGTAAAAAAGGGAAATATATTTTAGAAACTCTTCTAATTGCGGGTATTGTCTTCCTAGTTGTGTTGAAGTATTTCCAAAGCTATTCCCGTTGATGGCTTTTTACATACAATGTCTTATAAATATAATTGGCAAGAGTAAGTCAAACAATTTCTTGCACTTATCCCGTTTAATGAAACAGAAGAATTGTTTTCGATTTAAGTTAATTTTGTGAAATCTACAAACTAGAAATCTACACTTTATTTACACACCTGTCGAGCCAATTTAGATACTTTTTGGTGACTCTTAAATCTTAAATCTTAAATTATGACTATTTCTTTTTGATATTCATAGCTGTATCTTAACAGAAGGCCTTCACATCTCGCATTCACAGTTCATTTGAGTTGCAGCCTGCTCTTCCGCCCACAGATTCTAACTGTAAACAATGCCGTTGTGCCAAATACTTTCCCATGGGCAGCACGACTAGCCAACTACTAGCTTGGCCAACTCGAATCGATTAAACAAAAACAAAAAAAAAAAAAAACCAAGTTGAAGAGCGATGAGAGTCTGTCGCGAGAGAGTGGCAGTGTGGTGGTCAGAGGCATGGAATTGAAATGAAATGAAATGTGGTATGTTTGCCAACTTGCAGGGGCAAGTCTGCTGGTAACTGAAGACAGCAACGGACGATCAGTTGCAGACTTACAGTCGGCCGAGTCAGTTGTGTGCGCGGCGGTGTGAGAACTCTATTGAACTCTACTCTATATACTCTATACTTATCCGCACCTAAAGAAAGCAAAGCAGGCCCGACAGCAATCGCAGAAGCCACAGAAAGCAGGGCTGACATCGAACGAGTACAGAAACAGGTAAAAAGAAACCAAAAGCAAAGTCTACGTCTGCGTCGAAAAAAGAAAGTCAGCTAAAGAATCGCGTTGGGTAAAAAGCGCCAGAGAAAAGTTTCAACAGCGACAGTCTTGAGCGCTGCGTCGACGTGTGCGCAACGGTTAAAAGTTGTTCGAAAAGCAAGAAAGCAAGAAAGAAAGAAGAAAGAAAATAAGAAAGAAAAACGCTCGACCGGTTACTTGACAAAACTTTAAATCAACTATCCATAAACTAGAAATCGCTTTGCAGAAGCAGGAGCTGCTCAAAAGGTTGGCAACCCATGCCTACGAGTATGGTACAGGAAGTGTAATCTCAAGTGCTCCTATCTCGAACGAACTGAAGTGCTAAATTGTTTAAATCAAATTGTTTACGAAACTGACTGTGCCCTATTGGATTTATCTGAACAATTCTTATTGACTATCAGTGTGAGTGTGTGCGAGTGTGTGATAAAAAAAAGAAAATAATTGGCATGTAAAACGAGCCAGGAATGCTAGAACTGCTGACCCACATAAGCAAAAAACCAAGTTTTAATTGATTTTACAGCACAGGCAACAAAAACAAACTCGTACTTGCCTTCCTCATAAATTGTATCTAGCGCCAAAAGCATTTAAGACAAGCTATTTCTTTTCTACTTTTATGCCAGATACATGCGCTGATATGCCGGTCTCCATGCTCCATGCTCCATTTCGATGAGTGTGTCCAAGAGTGTGTGGTCGTGTGTATTTCTCTGTGTGTGTGCATTTTTTTTTTGCTCAGCTTGTTTGTGGTCAGTGGCGGTGGTGGTTGTGGTGGTGGTGCTGGCGACGAGTTTAGACCAATAACAAGAGCAGTAACAGCAGCTATCGCCATTTCTTGAGCACGAGTTGAGTAATCTCAGCTCTCAGGTTTCTTCTTACAAGCTGACCTACATACACAGGCACACGCACACACACACTCACACACACACTCACACACTCACACACTTGTCTGGCAGTTAATTTAAGTGTAGTGCTGTTAGCTATTTCCTGACTAGCTTCTCAACACCCGCTCTAGCCCTCTCCTCAGATTGGGGGGCCAGAGGTTCGAGCGGTTATGCTTTACACCGCATGCACTTTGTTGGAAAAACAAAAATTTTTAAGTGTTCTTCGCTGTGCTGGGCAGCAGGAATAACAACAACAGGCACTTACAGTAAGGACAAGCTATTAACAGAAATATTGTACAGCATCATCAGCGTTGTGTTGTAGTGGCGGCCAAAAATTGTTCCACAAACACACTCATCCACAGACACAGCAACACACACACACACACACACACACACACACACTCACAACATGTATCTAAATGTTTTGTGTTTTGTGCTGCGGTTTGTCTTAGTTAGAAATTCGAGTGGCTGACCAGCAGCAACAATCAACAACTAACAGCAACTGGAAGCAGCAGCAGCAGCAGTAGCAGCAACATTTTCCACTTAATTCTATTACTCAAGCAGCCGTCGTTACGAACTCATTCACTTGTTCGAGCACACTATGCAAACAAGTTAGGGCTCACCAAACCACAGTCTAGGTACGATTTATCCTTCATGAAATTTTCAGTTTGGCATTCCGATGGTTTTTATAAAAATACATTAAACTCCTTCATTCAAAATGAATGTTCCTGCCAAAAGTAGAAAAACGTGTTCATTCAACGATAGAGACGAGCAATTCTATCAATTTATTCTCAGTATAAAAACGTATTTTTGGTTATTAATATGTCCAAGACTTCTACAAGGACAACTATTATTGGCAAAAGAAAGCATGTGTGGTTATTAATGTGTCCAAGACTTCTACAAGGACAACTATTATTGGCAAAAGAAAGCATGTGTGTACTTCCCTCTATTGAAAATTTAACACAAAATACTGTTATTTGAACAAAAGAAAAATAGGCGCTTGTCTATTTTTGGTCAAATAAATCAATTTTAAACTTTCTTTACTTTAGGATAAATTTTTAAATAATTTATTTTGCTGGAAATGCTGCTAAAATCTATTACAGTTCAGATTTGAATATGCCATTGGAAAAATAATGTAAACAAGTATCTAAAATGGATTTAATTTTTAAATGCAAAATATTAAAAGAAAATCCAAACAAGTGGCAATTTTTAACTTTCTTCACTTGACCATAAATGCTAAAATAATTTCTTTTACTGGAAATATGGCTTTAAATCTGATATACTTAGTTCAGTTTTTAAAAAACCATTGGAAAATAATATAGAAAAGTCTCTGAAAGGTATTTTATTTTCAAATGCACAATAATTTACTCTTCGGAAAGGACAAAAATTAGATTTTCACATATGAATAAATATTTGTGTCAATTAATCTTAAAAAGGCAAATAAATTACACTTTATTTCGTAATTCATGATTTTTTAATGTTTCAATTAAAAATCATTTTTCATTTATTTGTATCATACTTGTATTTTTCGTTCAACTATAAGTTTCTTCTGATTTGTTTGCTGACAATTCGGTGTCACCCTAATTTTTTGTTTGTGGTGTTAAATTGTACGTGCTCAGTTTTTTTTGGCGGCCTCAAATTTGTAAGTAGTCCACCGCATCATGGCTCAAAAATGGCAAAGTTTATGATACAAAGCCAGTAGCCTGTTATTTGTCAGAATAGTTGCAGGCAAACAAAACTAAAATAGCAGACGAACTTTGTCTACAAGAAGAATAGTGGCCAACAATTGTGCCTTTGTCTGCTCCCCGACAAGCGACAACATCATGGCAACATCATCATCGTAATCTATATTATTCTCGTTGTTGTTGTTCCTTCAGTCAGGTGTCACTGGCGTTATAGGACCTTAATTCAAGAGACGTGCGAGTGCATTGCAGCATAAAGAAAATAGACAAAGCATAGCAGATACTGCAATAAGCGGATAGAGGAAGAGGGAGAGAGAGAGAGTGAATGAGTTGGGCGGAGAAGGGGAGAACTTTTCAAGTTGTGCGTGTGTGTGCCTTAGGGGGCGTGGCAGTTCAAGCGGCACGTGTAAAGCTTATTTTCTCCATTTTTTTTCTTTTGTTCTTTTGCCTCTTTTTGCCATTGTCTTGGAAAATTAACTGCAGCAGCCGCAACTGCATAAGAAACAGTAGAAGGCAAGGCAACAGCAACGACAATAGAAACAACAACATTGCCAGCATTGGCAACATATGGGAGACAAGTTTAAGCGCAGCAGATGGTGGCATGTGTTTTTAGGGGCAGAGGTTAATACACTGAGAACATCAGCAGACATAAAATAATCAATTGGAAAGATAATTGATTAACAATTCAAAAACGTGCACCGACTATAGAGTTCTGTATTAAAAAATGGCATAATCATTCCTTTGAAGCAGCATTACTTGAAATTCTTATTTGTACAACATTCCAGTATTTGCGAATAAGCTTTGCATTCTGTCCATCTAGAGAAAGCAGTTGCTACTTACTACAAGAAAATATATGAAGTTCAATTTTGTTGACATAGGAGTTAAAAGCTGCGATTTTAACAGTCCACATGGGTAATTACTACTGTCTTCGAAATACATACATATTAATTTTATTTCCTCCGAAATGTTGCTTGAAATATTTATAGCAAATCATATTTTAGCGGAAGACATATTTGCTTTAAATAACTTATTTGTGGTATTAAAGCACAATTCTGAATAAATCAGGATATAACGAGAGATACGTACTCTTTCAAAGCAAATTAATAACGTTAAGCTTCAATAATCATGTCAATATAGGCAACCAATATTTGCTTCTGTATTGTGCAAACGTAAAGCTCTGACTACCTTGGTTTTGCTTTCAGATTAATGGAATGATGATATTTTTTAACAATTTATATTTCTTGGTTAACTGTTGTCGGAAGAACGTCTGAAGAAATGCTTATTAAAATAATTGCAGCTCCGCTGTCAAAATTTTGCAGCAACTCACATGCTAGTTTCGATCCTTTCTGTTGTTTGTTGTTTTAAGGGTTCATTGGAAATGTTGAGCAATCATACTTGTAGTACTTACAAGATAGCCTTCATAAATATTGAAAATGTTCGATTTTAGATTGCCAAGTTCGATTCTAATTAACTTTAATTCAGGCTCTAACAAGTCTTGGCTTCCCTGAACTTTACTGGATTAGGGGCTTTGGCAGGATTCAGAATCCAACTCTCTGAGTGTAGGGATGGAGGTTGTTCCATGCAAATGGGAAGCATATTGGCGGGTGCGTCTGTGGCCTTTTGTGTGGCAAGCAAATTTATTGATATGACGCTGATGTGACAGAGTCGATAGCGACGGCAACAACAACGAAAACAACAATAGAGGGCATTACGAGTCGAGGGATCTGCAATAAGCCACATCAGACACGTGCAATATGAGTCTGTGTGTATCTGTGTGAGTTCTGGCTTAAGTAATTTTGCTGGCTTGCATAGGCAAGTGCTTGGCAAACACACACATGCGCATGAATATTAATGTAAAATACACACACACATCTCCACCCATCTCCAAACACACACATACAGACACACACCTCAGTGCACATGGATAGCTGCGTTTTTATGAGCATTTAAAATATAGTGGGGAGCAATGTTCCATATGAGTTAGTACAACAATAGAGCGGCAAGTGGTTGCCAACGCCTCAGTTTCGGTCGCGCTAGAAGTTTTGCTGCTGCTTTGCTGCATCGCCGTCATTGTTGTTGCTAGTGTTGTTGTTGTTGTTGTTGTTACTGCTGCTGTTGTTGTTGCCAGTGCTGTCGAGTTACGCGTGAAAAGTTCTGTTAGGTGAGATAATGGCAGCGAATCGAGAGGCGCTCGCGCTCATGAAAAGTAAATGCAATTTCCAAGTCTTGAATAAGTAGAGTTCATAAGTACATATTACAGGTGGTGATGTACTGAGCGAGTGAGCGACTGAGCGAGTGAGTGAATGGGTGAATGGGTGACTGAGTGAATGAGTGCCTGAGATGATGCTCATAACTGACTACAATGGCGCAAAGGTGAACTTAATAGAAGGGGCTCATATGTATTTTATATATAAAAAAGTGGTTAAGTGAAGCTATCTTTGAAATTTGTGAGATAATCCAACAAGTATTCACTGAATCTATTGTGTTTGTTCAAAAATTGTGTAACGCTTGAGAAGATCCTAACAGACTTGTTGGGTATTTAAAAGTACAGGTAGAGCTTAACGCTTATTAAATACAAGGATTTTTTAAAAATCAATTACAAATTATGCCTGAAGAACGTCAGGTATTTGTGCTTCTGATTCAACACAGCATACGGCTTATAAAACTGTTAATGTTTGATTGATGGCTTAGAAAGTGTTGTCTCCTATGCAGTTTTATAAACATTTATGCTTGTAAAGTTTTTTATTTCTTTTTGTTAAAAATGTGTCTTAATAAAAGGAAAGAAAATAAATTCAGAATAATATTTATAAGGTTTATAGTTGAGAATCAAAATAAAATCCTTCTGTATATATTTTCCATCAGCTTTACTTTTGTAAGTTGTAGACTTACCTGTATAGTTAAGCTGTCATTCTATTGTGTTACTAAGCTATTGGTAGCCTCATAGGTGATGCCGGTGGTCATCTAATTGATTTCTTCTGCTTCTAAGCAGCTAGAACTGCCTACACAAGTATCCTGGAACGTATTTAAACATACTAGTAAGATTTGTATCTTTCTTTCATTTCACACCACTGTAAAGAAGGCAACTTTTGATGATATATCACCTAGCCCAGTTACGTGGTAAACTTCTGATTGTACCTGTGTCCCTGTCTCTACACACAAAATCTTACCGCTCATTTGCCTCGAGCACAATTTTTAATAAACGTTGTTGAAAAGCGCGAGCGCGCTCGCAAAGTTTTAATTAAGCAGCGTCGCCGGATGAGAGAGAGAGAGAGCGAGAGGAAACAAAAAACCACATTTTTGGGCCAAAAACGGCAATTAAGACGATGGCAGACAGTTAGTCGCTAGCTTTTGTCATAAAACTGGCCAAGTGTCCGGGACCTGTGCCTTATCAGCGCTCATAATCAGGCCCTAAAAACATGTAGCCAAGTTTTCTGTGTATGTGTGTGTCTGTGTGTGTGTCTGCGTTTGTGTAAGTGTTGGGCAGTAGGTCACTGGGTTTTCACTTTGTCTTTACGACTGCCGTCATCGCGGTGGCTTATCAGGCTGAACTCGATTTAAAACTGTTTTACTCATATATTCCTGCGTTCTTTGCTTCTTCTTCTTTGTTTTTTTTTCAATACACGATACAAAGCAACAAATTTGTGGATGCTGCGATGCTGGCGCTGACGTCGACGTCTCCGTCTCAGTCTACGTCTACGTCGGCGTAGTCGTCGACGTTGGCGAACAAGTTTCGCGGCATCGCTTTCACTTGGCAGCGACTGCGGTCGCATTTGACAGTGTGACAATGGCAACAATAACAACAAAAGCAACAAAAGCAACAACCGCAGCACCAGCAGCAATAGGCAACAAACAAAAGCAATAGCAACAATAACAATAACAAGAGCAATTGCTGCGGCTGTTTGTTATTGCTGTTGGCTGTTGTTCGTGCTGATTGTCATGGCTAACACCAACAACAACAACAACAACAGCGGCGACAACAACGCTTACAACAGCAACAACAGTTGTCGCTTTACCTGCCATTGTGGCGCCTGCAGCTGGCCAAAGGCGCTGCTCTTGTTGTTGTTGTTGATGTTGCTGTTGTGTGTCAAGTGCCAACAAATGGACACATGTGGACAGCACTGCCAGACCAGACAGGGCGGGAGACAGAGAGCGTTCAGTAACTTTGAAGCGCATTTCGAAAACATGTTTGCACACGCACACACACACTCACATACATACATACATACATACATACACACACGCATGCATACAAAAGTTTACGTCGCTTTGCTTTCAAGTGCGGGCCGCGGCTCTGTCGTTGCCATTGTTGTTGTTGTTGACTGGTGACGGACTGGTTGCCTGAATGGCTGTTGATTTTTTTCAACAGTTTACAGTTTACAGTTCACCTTTCAATAAATATGTAATTTATGTATGTTTGTATGTCTGCACGTATGTATGTAAGTATGTGCCTCAACAACTCAAGTTCGTTTTGCCGTGAAAAAGAAAGTGTTGCGCTTTTATGTGTCAGTGTGTGTGTGTGTTTTTCTTTTTTGCCCGCCCAAATGGACGGTCATCCTATAAAGTAAAGTTTTGTTCCTCGGGACAAAATATATATATACATAGTATACTCGTATGGAACGGCTTTGCAGTCCCCACTAGGAACATTGTTTTTTTTTCCAGAATATTGTTGATGCATAATTGTGCTTTATGGAAAATAAAATATTCTACATATACATATATATCTCCAAAACAAATATTTTGTTCTTAAAAGAATCTCAAATTCCTCGACATGGTGAAGAAGAATGATTTGATATCTAATGTATGTTTATATTCGTATACTATATCTAGAAAACTTAAAATTTTCAGTAATTAATTTTCTTATTGAAAAATGTCGTACATGCAATATTTTACTATGCAGAACTGCAATTATAATTACAATCAAATCGAATATCGATAATTCGATATACATTATTATTTGCTCTATACTAACTATATTCTTTTCTATTGTTTTTGCTGAAGTAGAAAATTAAATTAACATACAATTTCTCTTTATTTATTAGTATAATGAGAGCTTCCCCAAACACAGTTTAAGAGCACATTTTAAGCACGATTCTGATGCCTCTTCTTCCTGTTCTCATTTCAGTTTTTGACAGCCAAATAGACCAAAAATGAAATTCGTGATTTTGCTGTGCGTGCTCAGTGCACTGCTGCTCCAAATTGAGGCCTCGCCCGTGAAGTTGTCGACGCGTGATTCACGCGCCGTGGCACGTCAACAGGCGGCCAATGAGGTGGCACCAGCAGTGGCGCCAGCCAGCGAGGATGACGACGACGATGACGATGAGGATGATGATGATGATGAGCCAGATCTTGGGGATCTGGTGGACGATGATGACGGTAGGTGAACAGCCATATACAAGCACAATTCTTTAGGAAGAACAACAGCAACTGCCATTCAAAGCACGCAAGAAGCACACACACACACACACCTACACACCTTCACACAAACACACACATGGAACACACATACACATTCTTTGTCTAACTTTTCCAATAAGCTCAGCACCATGAACAATGAACAAGTAAAGCACCTCACGTCGGGAGCACCTCAAAGTCGCGCACCCACCCGTGCAAAGGTCGCATGCAGAATGCCGCACCAAAAATGCCAGTACACAGTTTTAGGCGCCAAGCCGAGCATATGCACCCAGCAGAATGCTGATTGAATTACGCCATTTGCATATTCTTGATATTAACGCCATTTTGTGCTCCTCTCCTTTTTGGGTAACACACACAGTTATTTTGCTTTCGGGGCTTTCAGATGATGACGAAGAGGACGATGACGAGGAGGAGGACGATACGCCACAGGGTCAAGCAGCGCCAGCGGCCGGTGCCGCCGCCAGCGATGATGACGAAGAAGATGATGACGATGATGACTATTTGGATAGACTGTTCGATGACATCCTAGGTGGTAAGTTGTAGCACTCAAATATCCGATTTTTATAGCTAAAGTAAACTTGTTGATAGAAATTGTAGCTTGATTCCTTAAATATTATAGGTGCCCAATAGAGTTTTGTTTAAGTTTATGTTAAATATGCTGTAGAGTTATAAAAGATTGTAAATGAAAGACATGCAGAACCATAAATGAACTATAATCAATATGTAATGTAACCGATATTCAAGAAAACGAAAGTCCCTTTTAAGTAACACAGTTACAACTTATGTTCTTCTGAGCTTCAATTTTCCAAACAGTGTCGTTTTTAATAACTTTTGGCTTGATTAAATCTTAAATACATATATGAAGTGTAATGTTTCCAATCAATTTGGCTTTAACATTTCATTAGAAGGTAAAAGCATAGAGTCTTCGAAACAGTAAAGGCAGTAATTATTAAGTATATTCAAAAGTTATTATATCAAATATCGGTGTCAATATAATAATAATGAACCAACCCAATACTGAAGAAACTCACACATACAAGCAAAACAGAATCGCGGAGCTGAAATGATTTATCTTGATTAGGAATTCAGGAGGCAGTACTGATCCTTATCCTTCTCACATGTTAACGTCAATCTCTCCAATAGATGACGACGATGAGGACGATGATGATGATGAGGTTGCGCCTGCTGCCAGCATCCAGCAAAGCGTCGCTGCTCCCGCTCAGCCCATTGAGGAAATTGCGCCAGCTTCCGCCTCATCCGCAACCTCGGGAATTTCCGATGGCGTTGATTTGCCCGCCGAGAGCGGCAATGCTGTAGAACCGGTGGCAGCTGGCAATGCCGTCGACGACATTGCGCCAGCGGCGAGTCCAGCGGCCGGTAGCGGCAACAACGAAGGTGAACAAAATGTTTTTTACGATGAAGATGCACTTGTAGATGGTATTAGTGGTAGCACCAATAGTTTAAGTAGCACCAATTCACAATTAAATGCAAACGACCAACAACAACTACAATCACAACCACAACAAATACAACAACAACAACAATCAGAAACACAAAAAACGAATCAGCAAATCAGTCAAGCATCATCAGCAACAACAACCATTACAACAACAATAACTACAAACACGAAACCACAACCACAACCACAAAAACAACAACAACAAAAACAGAAAAAACAACAGAATACAACAGCAACAACATCAACAGCAACAGCAACAAAAAACACGCTAACAAATAACAATGCGGTCGCTCCAATTCAAAGTTCGGCAGCGGTAGGAACGGGAGTGGGCGTGGCAGCTGTAGAGCCGTCAGCCCAAACGCCAACCGCTGCTGTCGCTGAAGCGGATAACGACGCATCGGACGAATATGACGATGATGATGATGATGGTGATGATTATGATGATGGGTTCGATGAAATTACAGGTGCGATAACAGGTGCCGACGATGACGAAGAAGCCGATGATGATGATGAAGACGACGATGATGATATTATTGGCGATGATGTCATCGAGGCCAGACGCGAAGCACGTGAGTCCAAGTCAACAACGGCAACGAAAACAGCGAAAGCCAAAAAATCAACAAGTGCTGCCAAGAAGAGCAAAAAAGCGCTCAAGCATTAAAACACAGTTGCAACAAAACAAAAAAAAAACATAACATAAAACAAAAAGCTTAAAATAACTGAATGACAGGGACAAATTAATCAACAATTGAGAACAACAGCAACTACAACGACGACAACAACAACAACAACAGCAACAATGATGACGCAGTGACAACAGCCAGTCGGGGTCACCACAAAGTTGTCACAAAAGAAACACGGGTTGGTTCAATTAGAGACGTTGACATGGACTTTTGCATAAATCTTTGCCTGCACTGACTATCTAAAGCAAAAAAAAAAAAAAAGAGCAACAAAAAAAAAAGAACACCAACACACAAAACGCAAAAAACTATACCTATTTATTTATTTATTTTCAAATTTAGTTCAAATAATGCGCTAGTTTACAAATTTTTTGTGTAAAGAAGAAACAAAACAAAAAATTCAATTAAGCATATTTAAGCACATAAAACCTTAAACATATTCTTACATGCTAAAATCTTCAAAAGAGATAATCAGAGTTTGGTGCTAGTCACACTATCTGCAAAAACAAAACTATTAAAACAAAACACAACAAAACTGAAAAACCAATCACCATGAGGAAGTTTTCTAAGCTGCACGCACGCCAGCACAGAAGCAAAGGCAACAACTATTTACCCTTTACGTTCCACCCCCCTCCCCCCACTTTCCACAACAGCAACAACAACAGTCACATTTTTAAATAGTTTTTGCAATGCACGGACGGTTCTTTATTACCTTTCACGACAGCAAAACAATATCAAAAATAATAATAAAGAAATGCAAATCTGGTTTAATGCGCAACAAAGCTATGAGAAAACATAAGCAAACAACTTAAAGCACAAATTGTTGAAATTTTCACACACAGGCTCTGGCGCCGCACGATATGCAACAGAAAATTACATTATAAAGCAATTACAAAGTAAATTGTTGCAAGTCGTGCGATGCACGCAAATAGCTAATTTTTATTTATAAATACATAAATTAATGAATTATTGAAAACACACAACTACATAATCGAATTGTTCACGAATGAAAACTGTTTTTCTTAGTGTAATTCATTTATTTTTAATTTGCAATATTATTTATTTCACACCTAACTATATATCTATATATATACAAGTATATGTATGTAATTTAATTATTTGCTGTCTACAACAAAAACAAAAAACAAACAATTATTATGTAAAGCATATTTGTAGCGCATTTTCAAAAAACAAAAACAAAACAAAATCTAGCTTTTTGCCTGTCGCTCTCTGGCTCTCGCTCTCTATCGCTCTCTTTCGCACTTTCTTACTCATGCCTTTCTTCGCACATCACCATCAAATGTTTTTGGCTTTTGTAATTGACATTTCACTTTTGGCTTTATTGGCAACTGTCTGTCTGGCTCAATAATTTTCCCTTCACATTACCAAAATCGTAAATAACGCAAATTGTAAAGAGTATAGAACATTAAACAAACAAATTAATGTAAATTGTAGCTAAAAGTTGAACGCTTGAAAGGCAGCGCAGAATTCCAAATTTTAAAATAAAACAACAGCGAATAGTACCTTCAAAGATGAAATTGAAAGTGACATAAAATTTGCGCACAAATTTGTTATAACTTTGTTGAACATTTTGCGTTTAGGTTCATCTATTTGTAATTATTTATTTATTTATTTATTTATTGTAAAAAACACAAAACAAACAACCAGTTTAAAAAAAACAACTGCAGCAACAACACACAAAAATTTGCTTAAATAAATTTTAAATTAAATTTTTGTACAACTTTTTGAAAATCAATCGAAAACGAATTTGTGTTTTATTTGCAAATCTCAATTGCGAACAATTGGCTTTCAAGCGTTACTTGCTAGTGCAATATTGGTAATTGGTTCTCCTAGAGGTGGAGCTCATATGTATTTTGAACCTTATTGTTTTTGTACTTAACATTACTAAGAAGGTTAATATGTAATCTAAGTAGTTGCTCTTTGTTCTAACCCTGCTGTGAGACATCCCAATGGGACCAATACAATTACAATTCATCAAGTTTCAAGCTGGGGACATTAAAATCGTTTGTCTCTACTTGATTTAGAAATCGGATTCCTTTTGAAGCATACACTACAAATATTAAATTGGTTTGTGTTCTAGCCGATTGTAATGAGAATAAGAATCAATATATTTTTAAAGATAATATTGATATTTTTCTCAGTATATCAATTGGTTAAATGTAATTTTTCATAATTTTAAAAAGCAATTTAGTAGATCCTTAGATTGGCACAAAAATCTCACTTCTGTTCTAAATTTCCTTTAAACATAGCGAGTATTTTGTATTTTGTTATACTTGTACTTAGTAAGTTAATTAAATTGTTTAGTGTTATTCTCTTCGCCTCATTCGATATTTTTTGTTTAAAATTTAATATTGAAATTAAGAAATCAAACCATAGTACAGTATTTCAATATTATAAAGTTCATTTTATGGAATTTTAGCAAGATTATCTTATAAATACAAATATTATTATTTTACCGTCTGCCAAGGATTTTGCACCCCAGATACGTTCTGGGTATTACAGGGTATTAAATTTTTATAAAAACAATTTTTAAAACTACATTCATATCTGGCGCATTTTTCAAAATTCGACTAATTTGTATGGACACTCTAATTAGTTGAGTACTATATAGTCTTAGGTGAATTAATATATTTTCCTGATGGAGGAAGTGAATAGGTAATATAATAATAATAAATAGAAGGCAAATGATTTAATGTGGCAAACGAATCCAGAAGCCTGCCTCCAGCTAGCCACGAGCCAGCTTGTTTAGAAAATTGTAATTTGTTTTTCTTTCGGAAATTCTGGCAAATGCTAAAAAGTTAGAACGGAAACAGGAATGAGAACAAATTTGATTGTTCACACTTTAAGTTTATCTTTAAACTATTGTCTGCTGTCTTCAGAACTCGGCTTTTTATAAGCTTGGTGCTAATTAAATGTACGTTTAATTTTTAAATTAGCTTCTCCTTTTTCCAAGCACACTCTATACGAACTGCCATCTCATGGCATCTACCATTTGCTGTAATTAGTTGTTCATCTCTCACAACATGCCCGCCTTTGGCGATCTAATTGTGCATGAGACACCCACACACTGCGGCATGGTTTTCAATCCATCGCACTCCACGCATGCAGCACGCACCCTCAACCCACACCAACACCCACACCCACACTCACATACACGTACACCACGCAGCTAATGTTTTATAAATATACGAGTATAAGTATGTGCATATGTGGAGGTGAATAGTCGTGTAAAGAGCATGCAATTATCTATTTTAAACGTGTCAGGCGTTTGCCAAGCAGAATGGACTTGCATAAATTTGCTTCAATTAACAAAAACAAAGGGCAAAGTTGATATCCTGAGCTTAAGCCAACAACACAAAAGGTTCTCGAATGGGGTGTGATGTACTTTATGACATGGTTGTGTGTATGTATGTCTGTTTGTATGTATCTAACATAATACATGGGTATGTTTGTATGTATGTAGTCGTAGCATGCAAAAAGAACATTAGTAGCTCATTATTTTTATTATGCTGTCCTGTATACACATCTGTAATATATGGTTAAGTGCATGTTAGTGTGTGTGTGTATGTGTGTGTGTGTGTATGCCTCAATGTCAATGCTTTTTATAACGGTATTTGCTAATCCAAGCATGTTTACTCACACACACACACACACTCGTACAAACACTAGAGCTCATTAAACATGGTCGCCATTGCTAATAAATACATACGAGCATCTAGGTTTGTGTGTGTGTGTGTGTGTGTATTATGTGGTTGGCACTCACACACACACACACACACACACACAAGTAGACTAACACACTTGTAATTAGACACACAGCTAGCTGTGGAAACGCATTCAATGAGCCAAAGGCCCATCGCCCAAAATTTCACACAAAACGTACTCAGCCCATATTAGCGCATTAACATGACAATTTTCTATTCCGCAAACGACGACATTTGGGCTCCTGTCATGGCTTTCACTCTAAATGTGTGTCTATGTGTGTGTGCGTGCAGGTGACCTGAAAAACAACATCATCGACATGTCCACGGATGGCTTTCAAGCGAGACATAATCACTTTATCGATGCCATATTCTCGCGCATAAATCGCATCGTAGCCGACAATTATGATCCCTTTGTGGTCCGTCTGGCGGGTCGCACGGCAGCAGGAGCTGCAACAGCAACGCCTAGTGGCAAGCCAACAACCTATGCCGCCAACAACAAGAGCGGCCAAAAGGCAGGCAGCAGCAACAACAGCAACAGCAACAACAAGCGCACAACACACAAGAAACTGTAAGTGGTCCCACGGACAAAAAATGGTGAAGTATCAAAACATATGTTTATGCATCACAAATTCACGATATTGCTTAGGTTTTACGTTATGGTTAGATGGATAAATGGATAGATAAATGGATAGATGAATGGATAGATAAATGGATAGATGAATGGATAGATAAATGGATAGATAAATGGATAGATAAATGGATAGATAAATGGATAGATAAATGGATAGATAAATGGATAGATAAATGGATAGATAAATGGATAGATAAATGGATAGATAAATGGATAGATGAATGTATAGATAAGTGGATAGATAAATGGATAAACAGACATATAAGTTGGACTAAATAGATAAACATCTGCATCTGCAATGGTTGGTAAGCTTTATAGAAAAATAGATAAATAAATAGATAAAAAATAGTAGATAAGAAGAAAGACACTCCTAAATTTTAAGTAAATTAATAAATTTATATTTAGATAAATAACCCTTCTAATTTTAGATAGATGAATAGTTGGAGAAATTCATAGATGGAGATAGATAAAAAATTGAAAAATATGAAAAAATATAGATAAAGGAATAGATAAATATTTAGATAAATTCAAAATTTCTTTTTGGAGAAATAGATTTTATGGACATATGTATAAACAGGTTTTCACCTGTTTGGGGTGAAAAATTATACATTTTTTCACAGTTTTTTAGGTAGATTATTTGTCTGTGAATGGATAGATTGTTTAATTGATAGGTTGATTAATTGGTTAACTGGTTAATTCGTTAGGTAGTAAGAAAAATTGGTAATTGATTGTTATAATAATCAATTTGTTAATTACTTAGATACATAGATAGTGGAGGGCTAATGAATAGAATAAATTCATTGAATTATTAATAAATTGATTGGCCTATTGATTTGTAATTGATTGATTGCTTAAATTTAGAGACAGATATTGTTAGATATCGGTTCATTGATGGTCATAAATCAAGCCATGAATCAATTATGAACACATAGCATTACAATACTATTAAAAGGCAATGCAGACTGATAAAGGAATTGAAATATATAGAAAACTTTTCATGTGTATCGACTTTAAAACGGAACCTGGAAAAAGGGAAGAAACCCGGAGGAGTGATTGAAACTAGAGGTTTGGGATCATCTTCTATATATTTTATGACTATTTATGATATTATTTTGATTTTCATCCTCCAAACTGTATTTCGTATGCTATTATGGCATCACAATCACAAAATCACACACACACCCGTACTTACAATTCTCAATCACGCATAAACCGAGTCGCCACTAATTTTTGAATACGATTGACTCACAGCAAGAATACCAAATCAGAGCCCCGAGCAGCGGATGGCAATGAGGAGGAGGCGGCATCGACATTCACATCCGCACAGAGCAAATTGCAAGAGCAATTGACGCAATTACAGTTGGAACAGCAGCAAAGCATCAAAGCAATCGAGCAGCAACAGAAGCAGCAACAAAGTGCGGCTGATGGGGGCAGTGCTACGCCGGAAGTGCGAACCGTGTTCGGTGGTGACGAGCCCGCGGTCTCTGTCAAAGGGGCCAAGAAGACCGGCGGCAGTCGTGGCCAGCAGTCGCACAACAACAACAACAACAACAAACACAACACGAAAAAGGCGTCATCGGCGGCCAAGCTCAAAGCAGGCCAGAATGCCAACTACAATCAGCCGCCAGCTGCGGGGTCTGGCAAAGATGTCGAAAAGCTGCAAAAAGCCGAGGGCAGTCTGTCCGGACTGGCCTCGCTGAAGCGTGTGGGCAACGTGAAAGTGGTCAGCGATCCGGAAGGACGCAACTCAACCATAAAAGCCAAATTCACGCTGGGTCCATTGGTCCTTCGCGTCGAGAAGTCCTTTAAGCGCGGCAGCGTACGCAGCGTCAAGAGTGCAACGGCACGCACCAACGAAATGATCGGCCGCATCAAGTTCAGCGTAGTCGATGATCGTGCCACCCTCATGTCCATTAAGGTGCAACAACCCAAGCAGGTCAGTTATTAATACCACACTTGCAATTGAAAACAATGTTCTTCATAATTGTTTGCAGTCCAAAAGATTTACTTAATTTCAAATTGAAACAGTTATTAACCTTTTATTCTGCTAAGTACTCTCCAAAGTTGTTTAGAAGTTTCTTATGGTTTTGAAAATTTTCCTCGTCAATTTTTTTTATACGAATATTGATTTCTCATTTGTGAAAAGTGGGTTTTTGAAAAGAATTTTAGTGGTGCTCTTACTTTTTCATTTCTTTTCTCGTTTCTTGACTCTCAAAGTCACTTTAATTATGTTATTTCAATTTTTTTAGAGTTTTCAATTCAGTTCTGAAAACTTGTTGAATTCAGATACCAAGTCGATACTACATACCAAATTTAATTATTATATTGAATATACATTATGTTGATAATAGTTGATTAGAAATGCTGTGTTTTTAGAGAGAAGATTCCAATCCCTTACTTGTTTAAATATTGATTTTAAAAAATATTTTAAGATATCAATTTAAAGGAAAAACAATATCATAAAAACTAGTTTCTTTACGATAGTTTGCTTACTTTTGAACATTATTTTTTTCAAAAATTTTAAGTTTTTCGTTTCAATACTTTTGCAACTCTATTGAACCAAGAAGTGATTATTATTTTTTTTAATTTTGAAAAGCTATTTTGCATACTCTGCGATACTCTGCTCTCAAAACCTTTATTTATTTAAGGGCTTCAATAGTTGTATTAGAATTTTCATTTCAATGATCCAATTTGAAATTGTAAGGTACAATATTGTCGTTATTACGCATTGTCTGCTCTATATTGGATACTATATTATATTTATATATATTAAAAGTAGTTCCAATTGAAAAGTTTACATTCAATGACTGCTTTCCTTGGCAATATCGAATCGATTTTGAATCTTCAATGCCTTTTCAAATACGGGTTACAATGTCCATTCATTTTAAAGTTTTTAATTTTTTGCAACTTCCATTGTCACTGATTCTTTGCTCTTGCCTTGAAACGTGTTTCTAGTGTAAATCGAACGCATTATTAACTTAAATGCTTGCTTTGTGCAATTTTCATGGCTTGTTATTTATTTTTGTTGTGTTGCCATTTTTGCAGGTGGAGGTGGAAAGCAAGGACAATCACGACCGAACACGCGAATTTGTCTGGCGACGCACACCAAAAATTGCCAAATTGGTCAACGAGAAGCTGAAATTGGCCGCCGAGACGCTATTCACGCCGCAGGGTGTCGAGGTTGTACGCCTCTGAGAATATCTCCAGCAGATCCTGCAGATCCAGCAGTTTCAGCAGCTAATGCAGACCGATTCGTCTGCACATTCTTGTAGTTTAATTTAAACGCCTAATTTATTTATTTAATTTATTTACCCTTTTCTGGCCACATAATAAAGCATCGTAATGTACAATACAATGAGCTTCTGCTCTGTTGGCTGGCTATTAAGTTTGTCTTATTGACCGCATCTGCACTTTAATCCATCTGCTCTCTAGGGTCATTTGGAACGCCCTCTGTTGACACATTGAGCTCCAGAGCGAGGGCGAGGACGAGGACGTGGGCACACGCCCATCTAAACACAGGTGCAGAGTCAAGTCAGGCTGTCAATGTGCATCATGTAGATAGGTATGTAGGCCGCCTGCAGCTTTCATTAATTTTGCAGTGGTTCCCAACTGCGTTCGCAAACTGCACAATGGGCTGCAACTGTTTAAACTGCTATCCAAAACTTTAAATATCCAACTGGATGGATGATAGAGGTAAGTGGTCGATAGAGATTACCTTCTATGAGACGTTCCTGGCGGAAGGACATGCCACTCAGTAATAATATTTGATGGGAAAATGCATTTCTAAATTACAATTACTCAATACTTTTGTTTCGATTATTTACGAAACTTGTTATGGGTCGATTCATGGCTTAATATTGAGTGCTAATGGCGTTGAAAAAAGTAAAAATTAAATATAACTGTTAAGTTTTTTTTTATCAAGCAACCAACCATTTTTAACAACCAAATTAAACAGAAAATAATTTTTTGTCTCAATAAATTTCAATTGATATTCTACAATTTCAGAATCTATATATTTTGTATTGAGAATAAACACAAGACGTGGTATTGTCATGTGTCGCATAAAAGGCCAATTAAAAAGTATCTGTAAGATACCATTTAGCCTTGCTTGCGGTTTTAAATGGAGAGAGAGAGAGAGTCAGAGAAAGAGAATGACACCAACTTGAAGCTATATCGTCTTTTTTTGTGGCAATGTTATAGAGATCGGGAAATATCTGGATGTTTTCATAAACAACATAAACATTTTCTGAAGCAAGACACGTCAAAAGATCATTTTTAAAAATATTAAAATTATCTGAAGGATTGAGCACTTTTAATGGACATTTTAAGAATCTGCTGTAGCCAAGAGGTGGCCAAGGGTATAGGCAGCTTTTACCAAAGGGGGGAGCCAAAAAATTAAAATGTTGATTAAATAATGCTCCAACTCCATTTTAAGATGAAATAGTGCGTCATAATAATGAACGTGTGGTCGACTTTATATGGCAAAATTTTTTGTAGGGGGGGGGGGGGTTAACGGCCGCCCCTGCCACCCCCTGCCTACGCCCTTGGAGGTGGCCATATCACTATCTGCAATGAAGCCCATTATACTAACAATACGACTTACTACAAGTATATATACCTAATTCTGTTTCTACACCGTCTTATTACACGATTCTGATATAACACGGTTTGAAAATTGAAAATGTCATATATATTTCTTTAAAGATAAGGAACCAATCATTATTTTTGCATATGATCAATGCCTTTTTTTACACGGTTGTTTCTGGAACAAATCTACCGTGTAAGAACAGAATTAGGTGTACTGCACTTCAGGTTGCTTTCATTTCAAATATGTGTGTGTGTTTTTTAAATCTTTGATATAGCACGATAAAAGCACTGCCTAGCCTATGTATTTCAAGCAGCTCGTCTATTTTAGCTGCGATTAACATTTGCTTATCCTTTCCGATATTCTCGCCCCACTGTGCACTTTGGCACTGGCATTGCCAGAAAAGTAAAGTAAATATGAGTGTGAAATTTGTGCTGAAGCATCTACTTGTATGTAAGGTGTACACACAAGCCGGACATGCAATTTGTTGTTGTTTGCCATTGTTGTTATGGAGTGCGGGCGCTCTCCTCCTGCCCTGGACTCTGGTACGAGGATATCTCTCTGTCTGTCATGCATGATGTTTGTTTTGTCCTCTGCAGTCTGCGCTGCACACTGGTGTGCCTGCCTTACACACTTTCTAAACCTTCTCTTTTTCTTGTTGCTGCTCTGCTGCTGTTGTTGTGGCTGCTTTCCTTTGTTGCACCTAAATTGACAACAATATCGTTTCATTTGCTCACTGAAGTGAACTCATCAGTGCACAGAACTAGGGACCCCAAACAGCTCTCCCCAGCCCCTATGCCACATGCATTGCCACTTTTTTGGTTTGCTTATATTGCCTTGGCTTGATTATATATTGACTGGCATTGTCAGAGGAACACGGTGTGTGTGTGTTTGTGTATTTGTGTGCATTCTGCCTGCATCCTGCCTGCATCCTGACAAGCTTTAATTCGTTTCGTTTGTTGCTCTATTTGTGCTCTAGCCAGTGCCTTATTACAATTAAATTGTTGCGCATTTACGAGAAAGCAGAAATCTTATAAACTTTGTTTTGGCCAACAACTTAAATAAATTCAATTGTTAGTCTGTTGCCCATCCATCTGCATCTGTATCCTGGCCAAAACTCATTTGCATTTTTGCTTTTTGGGGTGTTGGCCAAATAAATACATTTGTTCAAATTTTCCAACACAAAATTCTTGGGAGAAAAATTTGCATTTGTTATTACTCGGTTGCTCCATTGCCGGCTGGTTGCAATTGTTTAAGTTGAATATGCAACAGTGCGTCTGGCAGGATGCAGGACGCTGGAGGGGGATCCAAGAAGAAGAAACAGAAACTCGGTTAGCAGTTTAATTCCGATCCGCCTCTGATTGCCTTGCCCGGCACCCACTTCTCATGCCAGCTGGCAGCAGGAAATACGAGTACATGTTGAAGCATTTTCATAAATCATAAAATTCAAGAATTTCATTCCCTATACCACAATGAATATTTTTGGGGTATTGCAGCATTCTTCGATGGAATATTACATTCTGCAAAGAAGTGGTTATTCATTTGTTTCTACCGAATGCAATAAACCGTCAGCCTGTTTTCCTTACACAATATTAAACACTTGATGATCCCCTCCCAAATTTCCAACTTAAAGGAAACGAACTAAGTATTTAAAATAACTGTCATTATCCGACGAATAATCTTGTCGGATTTCGATTGGTGTGGCTAAACTTCTAAAGTCATTTCACTGGAAAATTTAAATATTTTTTTTAACAGCGAGATTTGGTGTGATTTTTGAAATGTATATTTATAAGAACTTTTAAATTGATTGCAGGGTATATAACAGTCGCATACGCGCAACTTTAGCATTCGTTTATTTTATTAATTTAGTTCTCTTATATACATTGCGCCGAAAGTGGATTTTATTCTCAACTCCAAAAACAAAACTCTAAATGAACACAAATGTTCATTATTTGAGCGCTTTTATTCTAAAAACTGTAAGGGAATATTATTTTGGAGTGTTTGTTCAAATGGTAAACCTAATCCGCCAGTCTACTTCACCACTCCTTCCACAGCATTAGGCGAAACTTCTTTTTGATGGACACAGATAATAAGTCAAGACCGAAAGTGTCAGCTCACTATCTCAAACGGTTTGATTTTTAAAGACATGGGAACCTAATTTCGGAGAATTCAGAGTATTTTAGTCATATACTTGTATGATGGTCTTGCATCAATCGTGGTTCGTGATTGGCAATCATGGATGATCACAATAAATGCAAGATTTTTTTTATAAACAGTTAAGACAGTACAAAAACAGTATAATCTATAGTTTGCTGTCAACGATGGTCATGGAGGGATACAGTTTTGTAGTAAACCAAATGACCGGTTTAATTTGGACTAATTCTAGATCTCAATGTTAATAATATTTTATATCTGTTATTATATTGTTTTTGTTGTTAATAGGTCTACTAATCAGAACATAGCCAGCCGCATGACAAAGGAAATTGTTTAATTTTCTGTCCCTATGCTACATTTTGCTCATTGTCGTAAGTTTTCTTTCTTAGCTGTCAAGTCAAAGTAAAGCAAAACTAAAAAAAAACCTAAGAACCATAAGAAATTACTCTACTACCAAGAGGAAAGGCTTACAACAATTTTAGATCCTTCTATAATAATTTTATTATCTTATAATTTTATAATTTAATGTAAAAAACCTTAAAGTGGAAATTTCAGTTTCTTTCCATCAGTTTCAGATTCATTTTGGAAGCTTTGTATTCCACCTTCTTTATTTCTTGCTGTTAATAATATTAATATTATTGTCTATTGCAAATACAAGGTCGTACGTGCGGTCCTCTGCCGTTGCCTCCCCTCCCCCCACCCACGGTAGTTGTTGAAGTTTTTCTCTTGATCATATACGTATGTGCATTATTTAATTAAAACCTTAATTTTTTGGCCACTCCTTTTTCAAAGCTTTGGAATACGCTGAGTACGCCCTTGGCTAAATATCTAATTTAAGTAATATAATAATACCTATCTATCTTGTAGATATTTACACATAACTATTTATATTTTATTTATTTTATTTCTTTATGTCAACAAACATTGACTGTCGACATAGGAAATAGTACATACAAATTATAAAAAGCATCTTATAAGCTAGAAAAGCCTAAGACAACCGATACGCCTAAAAGTAGATTCAATATTTTTTTAACGCCAAGAATAGAAATATCCAACTATGGTTGCCAACATGAAATATAGTTGCCCTACATATTTGTGATCTGTCCGGAATCTGCTGTTCTATTTTTCCGTATGTGCTGTATTTTGTAATTGCCATAGTTTATTAAATTACCAGCTGTGGGTTTTTATACCCTGTACCCGTAGGGTAAAAAGGGCATATTAGGTTTGTGCAAAGTATGTAACATGCAGAAGGAAACATCTCCGACCCCACAAAGTATATATATTCTGAATCAGCATGGCGAGAGAAATCGATCTAGACTTGTCCGTCCGTCCGTCTGTCCGTCTGGATGAACGCAAGGATCTCAGAAACTATAAAAGCTGGAACAACCAAAGTTGGTATCCAGATTCTCCTAGGTCCGAGAAAGGACCTTTTTATTTTATTTTTTGTAATTTTTCCCCCCTTCCCCCGCTAAAGAATTTCGTCAGTACAGGGTATTTCACTGTCGGGCTTGCTCGACTGTAGCGTTCTCTTTTGTTTAAATTTTGCTTAAACTTTTTAAAAGTGCATGGTGCTGTCACTCAAAGTGCTACC